GTTTCGCATTCTTCATCAACTCAAATCCTTACTCCTGAATTCTTGTCTCTAAAGATTAATACTTTAGAACAAGCTATTCAAAAAGCTTTTGCTCCACTTACGAATTTCACTTCTTTACTACCGAAGAGTGCTCCACCTGTTTACACAGGGGTGCAAGGGGGAGAGAAAATTCAAAGTAAAGAAGAGGAGACAAAAACAGTTGGAAAAGTGATATCGACTCAACTTGTAGCTACTCTTCCTATTCCTATGAAACCGATTTCTTCAACTACAATTACCACAAAAACAGTTTCCAAAGGTATTGTTATTGGAGAAAACGAAGGAGGTTCAAGCTTAAAATCTCAGAAAGATGTTGTAGGAAGAGGAAAAGGAATATTATACGAAAAGTCAAAGGAGGAGTTGAAAGTTGATGCAGAGGCTGAGATGGAGAGGATGAGACAAGTTCAAAGCATCATGAGACAAAGGGCAAGTGATCCTCCCTCCATGAACAAAGGAGATCCTGCGAAACTTTACTCTTATGAAACAATAGAGTCGAAAGTTGTGTGTAGGGAGATGTATGATTTCGAGAAGAAGCCGAAAAGAAGTTATGATATTGCGAACTCAGATCATTGTCAATTGGATTTCCCGATAAACGAAATGCTGTTCATCAATGCTCAATACAAGATCAGTGAGAAATTTGATAATCCTGATGATTATACTCATATGAAAATCAGATTTCATGCAGTCTTGGGGAAGAATCCAGATGAAGTTTGGTCTTTAATGAAGATCAAAAAGGTGCTGACAACAAAGAAGGATGTTTTGTTTGAAGATATGCTACAAAAATTTTGGTATTTTGTTATCAGAGCAGACAACAAACAATATGACTTCACAGTAGCTGATTTTCCATTGATGAATTGCAATGATTTAATTCAAGTAGCTCTGATCCCGAAGCATATGGAAGAAAACAATCTTAAAGGCTCTGAGACAGATGTGTTCAAGGTTGGCTTCGCACATGTGAAGACATTCATCGATAACTATTTCGACTGTTTGGCTCTTACAGATGAAGAATTAGCGAATGTGCTGGGAAGAGAAGTAAAAGTTCCATGGGAGGAGACTTTGACTCAATCTGCTTTGTCGAAGTATGTTGTTGGTGAAATATGCCTGAAACCATTTGGCATGGTGTTTTTGGGAAGGGATACAAAAGGAAAATCGAAGAAGTTTTTGTTCAAAGTCTCAGAGATTGAAAGATATAATTCTTCGCAATATACGCACTTCATTGTACGTATGAATAACTGCAAGAAGAATAACGAAGGAGACAAGAAATATCTGAAGAAGGTGATCTCCTGGTATGGAGAAGTGCGAAGGACAATTCACTCTGCAATTTAAAAGCTTTTGAGTTGAATTGCATCGACTGTTTACAAAGGGGGAGAATGTTGATGTAAATTGTAAAAAGTCGAAAATAGTGTATTATGTTGTTTCACATTTTATGTTATTTTACTAAGTCATTTTGTATGCGAAGTGAAGATGTATAGACTTAGTATATTTTTTGTATGTTCCCTATAAATAGGGACTTAGGCTAGAAGTAGAGAGATACGAAAGCGAAACACTCTTCTGCTTAAATTTTAATCAATCTTAATCAATATAAGATCTGATTAATATTTACTCTTTGTGTTCTTCATCTTTAATCGTTCAAATCTATCTTTTTTTTCTAAATTCTCGATAACAATTCTCATCACTTAGTTTTAGTGTTAGCTTCAGTATTTGATAGTTAGTTAGTTTTGTAAATTAAGTTTATAGTCTTGCAAAACTAGAGAAAAACCCTTTTCCATTTTATTAGTAATTAGTTAATAGTAGATAAAAATTAGCTAAAATATCGTTCGTTGAGTTCGACACTTGTTCTTACCATAGCTATATTGTTACACGATTAGGTACATTGTCTAGTGTGTTTAATAGTCTAGTTTAGAGAAAATTAGTTTTATAAATTTAAAACTTGAATAAATAAAATACACATTAAACCGCACATCAAGTTTTTGACGTTGTTGCCGGGGAGCGGTCCAATTTTGGTTACTTTAAATTTGCTATTTTATTAGGAAGTTTTTTGTTTAATTGCTTTTAATTTTTGTTTTAGGTTTTTCTTCTTTTTGACTCACCATGTCATGGTAATTAGCACCACGCCGTGGTGTCGTAACAGTAAACCTTTATTTTTTTTTTCTTTTTACACGTTTTATTTGTTCTTTTGTAGAAGTTTATGACCAGAGGATCTAACACACCATTGATTCCACCACTTGAACACCTAGAGCCAGCATTTCGTAAAAACATGGATAAAACAGTAGGAGAAGCTACAACACCAAAGAAATCACCTTTTAAGAATCTCAAATCGGTTTTTAGTAAGAAGAAGGGAAAGCAAGTAGGAGAATCCAACAATGCACCAAAAGACGAGTGCACATACGAAACAAAAAAAAGGAAGAAAGCGATAACGAATCGAGAAAAGGTAGCAGTCAAGAAAGCGAACACGACAACATCATGGCGGACATTGCTGACATCTCCATGGACGCATACAAGAAGAGAGTTCGTGATAACACCGGACCAGGGCTTGTGCAACCCACAATACCTACCACTGCCACCTTTGAACTCAAGGGGCACATCCTTGCTGCACTTAAAGATATTCCATTCACCATAAAAGATCATGAAGATGCCTACAAGAATCTTGATGAAGTCAACGACATCGCCGACGACTTCAAGATTCTGATTGTTCCACATGAAATGGTGTTGTTGAGAATGCTTGCGGTCACTTTCAAGGGAGCAACCAAATATTGATTGAAGGCACTACCACCGGGGGCGATAACTACATGAGCACATATGTGTGAAGAGTTCTTGGAACAATTTTTCCCACCATCCAAGGTGGCTAAGCTCAAAAAGGCCATTGCTAACTTTGAACAATAAATGGGGGAGTCGTTGTATGAAGCATGGGAGCGCTACAAGGGTCTACTTCGAAATTGCCCTCAAAACGACTTAAATGTGCAACAAGAAGTTTCTATCTTTTACGATGGGGGTAAATGTCACAACTAGGCAACTCCTTGATTCTCAAGGCCCCTTAACCTAGAAAAATCCAACGGAGATCAAAGAGCTCATTAAAGAATTCTCTAAATATTCTAGAGAATACCATAACCCGCGAAATGATGTAACAAGAGGATCGGTTAATGCTGCTTCGGAAGACATGTCGGCGGCTTTAGCAATGTTGCAAAACATGGATAAGAGGATGGCCAAGATGGATCAAACAATCCATGTAATAAGAGTTGGGTGTGAAAATTGTAACGGGCCACATTTAACTAAGGACCGTGATCTTGATGAGAATGGAAATCGAAAGGTTCAAGCTTTCTACTCGAGCGGTGATCGATTTGATGAAGATTGGAGAAAGTCCAAGAAAAAGAGGTTACCTTATGATGATTACAAGAAAGCCAAAGAAGAAAAAACATGAACAAAGATGAAGAGGCTTGTACCAAAGAGAGGAACCAGCTCCCGAAAAGAAACCCGATTTCAAGTCAATGCTTACCCATTTTTCTGCTGCATTAGATAAAAGGCCCGAGGAAACAGAAGCAACAATTAGAGAGTAGCAAACTATGATGAAGGAACAGCAGACTCTACTAAAAAATCAGCAAGCTTTTATTTTGAACATTGAAAAACAACTTGGACAATTAGCTAAGCAAATGAATGAAAGATCACCGGGAGGACTTCCAGGAAATACTGAACAAAATCCGAAGGGAGCTCACATCCAAGTCGTAACAACAAGATGTGGGAAAATTATCACTCATCTGACTCCCATTAAATATATTTTATATATAAATATGTATTTCAAATATATTTTTATATATAAAATACATTTATGTATAAATATGTAAGATTACTTGTATCTAAAAATATTTTAAAATACATTTAAAACCAATAAAACGTTATATATTAACTTTTGTAATAAATTTGTAGAATATTGGCATAATGTTTGCAAAAAGGTCTAGTGGTAATTTATGTATAAAATAGTTAAGCGGTAATTTATGTAAAAAAAAATAGTAAATTATCTAAAAAAATAGTGGTAAATGTATACAAAAGATGTCACAATTCCAGGTCAGCAACCATTTAGTATGCCACGTGAAGTGGGAACAGGTATTACCAAGTAAATATATACAAAAAAATCGGTGGTGTTTCCGAACATATGTAAAGGTTTATTGGTATTATCTTAACACCCTTTAAAGATTATTTGGTAACACATGTATATTGAACATAGATTGTTGGTAATACATTTTTTTTTGTACAATAAACAAATATCATCATCTTAAATCATTATCCATAGTAAATTATCTTAGCCACAACATATCACAGCCATATAAAAGAACAATTATATGGTGTAAAAAGTGGACACTAATTTGAAAATTTTAGAAGAATTGTTGACTTTGTTATGCAACGTTGTATTAAATTATCACAAAGATTCTGAATGTTTAGTGATCTCTTCAACAAAAAAAATTTCTTTCTTTTTTCTTTTGGTTTAAACTAAAATATATATATCGAAATTTTCATTTTTTTTTCTTTTAGTTTTCACAACCGTATAAAATAACAATTATATGGTCTAAAAAGTGGGCATTTATTTGAAAACTTTAGAAAAATTATTGATTTTATCGTGTATTATCACAAAGATTATGAATGTTCATTGATCTCTTCAACAAAATTTCCATTTCATTTTTTTTTTCTTCTTGTTTAAGCTAAAATTTATATACCAAAATTTTCAGTTCTATACCAATCCAACCATAAAACACCAATTCACAAAAAATGGTTCTATGCTCGCGAACCACAAAAAAATAAAACATAAACGAAAGCATATATATATATATATATATATATATATATATATATATATATATATATATATATATATATATATATATATATATATATATATATATATATATATATATATATATATGCAAAAACTAGGAATTTAAGCACCGTTTCATAAAATGTGCAAAATTCTTTAATCACAAGTACTGACTATGTATCCTTGCTCGATTCTCTTCCCACCAGAGTCTTGCATGCACCTCTCCAAATTTTTCACGGCTGCAAACAATAACCATACATTTTTAAAATAAATAAACCCAAAGAGCCCTAAAGTACAAATATGATGTTGTAACATATATAAAAGCATAAAATACATGAAGGCATACGAGATAATGACAAAATGTCATAGTGATATGAAACTCTACTAGATAGGTACTAACCTAAATCGGACACGTCTAAGTTCCCTTGAGCCGCCTTGAAAAGCTCTGATGGTGATGTAGACTCCGGGTTCATCTTGTTCCACCCATTCATTTTCGATATCACTTACATTGCTAATGGAAAGCTCTCCTGAGCGATCTGCTTCTCTTGATGAGCTAGCGCTTATGGATGATGTTTCTGTTTTAACACCGCTAATTGTTGATAATTTTGGGGTGACCATTAGACCAGAGGATTCATGGTTAACCTGTGATAGGTTTGAGTCGTGGTGGTGAAGTGGTAATGAGAATCCAGTTGGGCGTTGTAAGGTTCGTGGTAACTTTTCTTTACTCAAAGTTGGTGTCAGGGGACTATCGTCAACATCAAGAAATTCAGGTTTTGAACTCTGTTACATATATTTAAATAAATAAAGCATGTTATTGACATTTAAACCATAAATTGTAAAAATGTGAAAAGATATATACGCTTTCAAACATGAAATTTTAAAATGACTAAAATACCCTTGACTCGAGGGTTAGTTCGTCTTCAGATCTTGGAGGCATCGGTAGGGGAAATGCTTGACGGTTTAACCTTTGGACATTGTACAGTTCCATTACCTTATCAAAATTGTCTTGCCACCATCTTTGTGCTTGCCACTTGTTAAACATGTCGCGACTGTGGGAGGGAGAAACGGTAATTACAAGTTAAGGTGATTTATACTTTATAGTGTTATTTCCTTTTATTCAATATTTTCTAGTGTAATATTTTCCGTATATTAGGTATAAAATTTCTATGTATGTTACAATACGATCGATGTACATTAGTTAAACAAAATCAGATTTTCGCAACAAAACAATTCTACTTTTTCTTTTTACTTAGTAAGAGACAAGATTTTGGCAAGTGTGATCATGTAACTCCCCTTGATATTGTTACATGAAATTAGGAGCATCATGCTCGTTTGGTTTTTTTAATTTACATAAATACGTCGCTTGTAGTTTATCCATAATTAAATATTACTCAAAGGACATTGTTCCACTTCTTTGTCGCATAATGCTATTTAAGCTTTATTCTCAAACATGACATGACGCTTCTTTGATTATATTTTTTTATTCATTTGATTAATGTTATTTAATGTGTGGACACATACATGAAAATGAGATAAGTATGTGGGAAACTAATAATAAAGTATATAACAATCAATTAAGCATGTCAAGTGGGTAATAGATATAAGATTATTGCAATCATTTCATTTGGAGGACTACTAAGAAATCCATAATAGATCAAGCCATCATATATATATATATATATATATATATATATATATATATATATATATATATATATATATTATATATATATATATATAAAACCAATGCCAAACAGCCAAAGTGGACCATCGAAGCCAAATTATTTTTATGGTATGACAAGCGAAGTTAGGGCCCTCAAGCCATTGAAATCCATAACATTTAAAGCTTAATTTTGAGGGCAAAATTAAAAAAATAATAATAATAATAATAATAATATTAAAAAAAAAATTCAGTACGTTTTCTCTATTTGTTAACTTACTAATGAAAGATGTGTCCTAGAATCCAAACAAATTTAGAAGCTGTCCGAGAGAACCTCAAAGAATACATGGCATATTAATTTCTTGTTTTTTTAAATGAACTATGGTTTTTTACATTTTTTGGCTTTTCATGTAATATGATTTATGTAGAATTTTGAGGATGGGTGATGATTCTTATTTATCTAAACCCTAAAGTGTAGTATTTTTTAAGAAAATAATTGACATAAAAAATTATTAAATTTGAAAAGATTATGAAAGAATAACATAAAATCTTTAAAATGCAATAATTTTTAAGAGAAATTAAATACACTCCTATTTTTTCTTCCTATTTATTTTACTATCTATATGAAATGATGACTAATGTTATATTTTAATAATTTTCATTTCACATAGATAGAAAGATAAAAAAAAAATATATGATGATATTTAATTTCTCAACTTTTAAACATGTTTGTTTTGCAATTAATATTTATAATGTCAAACACTATTTAAATGTTAAAAAAGTTAAACTAAATTAACTATTTATTATTAGTTTTGTTATATATTTACATTTTTCATTTAAATTACAAATAATTATAATTATGTTAATTTAATATTGAATAAAAGTACTAATTTGAATATTTAAGACATTTAAAAAAATATAATTGTTTATATGACAGTAGCCACCACTTTTAAAAATTAATTGATATGCATGCAAAATAACTATATACAAACCGATGTTGCTTATGAATGAAAGATCAAATTCGTTACATCGATATGTATGGTCTTAGAATTTCTTAGTATGATATGTCATAAATAAAGATATAAAATATGAAAATATATTTTCTTTAGTATAATTTAAGTCATTGATTTTTATACATACACAATAAAAAATATTTTAATTACATGGTTTACTAAAAACTATCAAATGGCTAGTAGGCTAATGGTACGAGATGTTGATATGATGTCTATCAGTCCAAACGATTAAAAGTTCAACTTTCATTTGAAAGTGTGATGTAATTTATAAATAATTTAAAATTTTAATTAATATATTTTATGAATTGCTTAGATTATTTTTATTGGTGAAAGGGTGCACTTGGTTCAAAAATAAAGACGACAATTATATTATATTATTAAATGGTAAACGAACATATTCATAAGTCTTAACCCATTTAGATCCAAATGTTTGGTTGGTTATCAAATTTGAATAAGATAAAAAGAATGTCCCATTAAAACCTGCTCCACCAAACATAGTCGACATTTTTTTATTGGTTATTTCTTCGTTCATAAAAAAAATTTAGATAGACATTAGTTTGTAATTAAGTGGATTTTATTAACAAATATAATAAAATATATAAAATAATATCCTCCGCCGTTCAAAATAAAATAAAATAATTTTGTCTATGAATAAAATCCAATGGTAGTCCTTTTTCTTTTAAATTAAAAAAAAAAAAAAAAAAACATTTGTATATTTTGTATAATCTAAAAATAGTAAAAAATGGATATAGATTGAAAACATAACATGTTATTGTATATATATATATATATATATATATATATATATATATATATATATATATATATATATATATATATATATATATATATATATATGGGTAAAGTGAATATACCTAACAACCTTATATAAGCTTAGGTACCTAACCACATTATACTACATTGTTTTGCATTATATTTCCATTACAATCGTCTAAGGTTCTTAAACTTCAACCCTTAACTTGATTTACTTCTAAGATTTTTAGACATTCACCATTATATTCCTCCTACACCATTTGATTTGTAACGGTAGTATACGAAACCCACCAGGGGGTCTCCGATAGAAAGACGGCATTTGAAGGAAGATAATGGTGAAAGTCCAAAGATTTTGGAAGCAATCAAGTTATGAGGTTGAATTTTAAGAACTTTAGGTGATTTCAATGCAAATATGATACAAAATTACATAGTATAATGTGGTTAGGTACCTAAGCTTATATAAGGTTGTTAGGTATATTCACTTTACCCTATATATATATATATATATATATATATATATATATATATATATATATATATATAGTATGTACTTTGCATAATATATTGAAAGTTAATATAAATCATATATAAAAAGCAGTTTTGGATTGGATTGTTAACAAATGTAAAAGTTTAATTTAATTGGATTATATAGATAGAAAATGATTCTAAACTTTTAATATATATATATATATATATATATATATATATATATATATATATATATATATATAAGAGAGAGGGGGGGGGGGGGGGGGATAGATTGAATTAGATTGCTAACAAAAATAATATTCCTTTTGTAATCAAGAATTAGGTCATTGTCTTTCTGTTTTTTTGCAACAAAATTAAATAGTTAAAATCCAATCTACACATCTAATACAAATAAAATAAAATATATTAAATTTTGTATATTTTTTAAATAGACAAATATTAATATATGTTTAGTATATATTTTTTTCAAATCATAAAATTAAAAGCATTTATATAATAAAATATTATTTTGTTTTATATTTAAATTAAAATGATAATGTATTTTATAATCTTATAATAAATAAATATGATCATAGATAAAAGTATTTTACAATAAAGAATTATGTGGGGCTGATTATTTTTAACAAGGTGTTAAAAAATTAGTTGTTTCATTGTGTATGTGAATGAAGAAGAAAAAAACAGTTTTCTTTATAATAATATTGGGTGGGTTAATTTGAATTGCAATCGACTAGATCATCTATAATGGGTCAAACTCTTTTTTTTGGAAAAAAAAAACATAAATGTATATTATTCTAAAATATAATAATCAATTATGTAAAAAAAAACAACACATAAAAAGAAGGCAAATCAGATAATATTTTGACTGATCTTATAGTTAGCATAGTGTTGACAGCTTCAAAGAAATCGATCATGTCAATGTTTTCCTGTCACCTACTCAAGACTCAAGAGATGTAAAACAATAGTACCTCTATATCCCTTCCAAAAGTTAAAATTTACTTTTCATCCACCTTCTAGAATCAATTAAATATACTATCTTCTATCATATGTGAATTAAAAAAATATTGGTCAAATGTAATGATAAAATTCGTGGCCATTTTGTATTTAAACTTTTCTAGAGGAATGTTGTCATTGATAATTAAAAAATAAATTATGATATTTGAAAAGTTAGTTATATGAAAAACGAGCTCATAGTTAAAAAAATTAGCCGATAAAATATAATATTTGATAAAATTAATAGATACAATAAAATTTTAAAATAACATAAAAGGATATTTAACAAATATGTGTTTTTATAACTAATTAAAGATATATTAAAAAAATAATAAAAAAAAACTTCTGAAAAAATAGTCTAATATACACCTACCTTATAAACATTTTTAAAATTTGTAAAACATAACAACTTAAAAAAAAAAACTAAAAAAAAAAAAAAATAACTATTACTCGTTAAACATAACCTAAATAAGGTAAGTTTGTTTACAAAATATATAAAATTTGAAGCTTCCTATGAATGAAGTTTCTCACATTTAATATGATTAACTAATATATATTATATCATTTAAAAATATAAATAATTTATCAGATTTATTATCATATATGATATGATTAAAATAATAAATAAAATTTTGCATTGGAGCCTTCGTTGAAGAGGGAAAAAAAATACTCTTATGAAACAAATAAAAGTAAAAAAAAATGTTGGTAATAGTTAACTTTGAGGAGAAAACTTCTTGTGATTATATTGATATGTAAAAAAAGTTTTGTGCAATGAAATAGCCGTGAGATGAAAATAGAGTTTTTATAATAATCAAAAACTTAAAAAAAAAAAAAAAGAATTTCAAAACTAAAAAGAAAAGAAAAGAATAAACCATCAACAAGAAAAAAAATTCTACGCTTTTTATAATCCTAAAATTCCAACATTACTAAAAGCTCAGACAAAAAAAGGTAGGGACTTTTAATTGTTCGTTAACTAGAATATTCTTAAAGGATAAAGAATATATATATATATATATATATATATATATATATATATATATATATATATATATATATATATATATATATATATATATATATATATATATATATTTTCCATAATAATAAGCTGTGCATTGTTGAC